AAGAAAGGTGGCGAAGGTATAAGAAGAAGAAGAAGAAGAAGAAGAAGAAGAAAAAGAAGAAGAAGAAGATGAGAGGGGGAGGAGGAGGAGGAGAGAAGAAGAAGCAGAAGAATAAGAGGAGGAGGAGGAGGAGGGAAGAAGAAGAAGAAGAAGAAGAAGAAGAAGAAAAAGAAGAAGATCAGACCGGCAGTCCTCGTCGACGGGCGGCAGTGGATGCTGGCAGGGAGCAGCACGACGATGGACGACGGGGGGCGACGGGTCACGGCGAACGCGATGGCGATGGCGACAGGCTACGGGCGACGGCTCTCCCAGGCGATGGCGACGGGCTACGGGCGACGGCTCTCCCAGGCGATGGCGACGGGCTACGGGCGACGGCTCTCCCAGGCGATGGGACTCCCAGCTGCTTCGATGAACTTCGGACGCAATGACGAAGGCAGGCGGCTGGAGGACAGACCCCGTTTCGAAAGCCGATGCGGACTGCCTCAGGCCCTCCGAAAACTTTGCTTTTCCCTCCAAAAACTAACGGCCCTCCGACCGTCGATCGTGGATGATCGACGGCCGGAGGGCCGTCAAAAATTCAAAAAAAAAAAGCAGGCCTCATGGGCCCGACGCGCCGTTTTCTTGGCGTGGTCGGACCCGGTAGGCCCTGCCAACAACAACTGGACCCGTTTCGGGGTCGAAAACCCCCCGCCGTGAAGGTGTGCTGAGGGGGCCCGGCCCCCAACCGGGCCGCCCGCCCGGCCAGGCCGCCCGGGACCTCCCCCGGGCAGGCGCCGGTCGGCCGGGCGGCCCGGATCCGTACTCAGGAAAATTGACAAATTGAAATGTTGGTGAAATTTCATGAAAGTGCGCTTTTGGCTTGCTGTTTTATATGTTTTTATTTTATTTTTTGGGTTTTTTTTTTTACAATATGTTAGTAAGAAGTGCACTCTACAGATTGGTGTAAAGTATGGTTAAAATGGCCCTTTGGTTTTCATATAAATGGCGGTGAAAATTGGGGGGTCGGTTAACCTTCTCTCCACATGCAGCCCTTCCAGTCAACCAATGGCTACACGTGAGAAGTAAACATTCCGATCCTGATAGCTCGGAATGCTGCTCAATGTGCAGCAACGACTCACGCGAAGACATCCCCCGCTGCCTCCTCTTCTGCCCAGAAGCAACCTGGATATGGAAGAAGGTCCGCGAGCTATGGTTGATCCTTTTCGCTTCGCCCCCCCTAACATCCCCCCTATCTCTAGCCTACTCCTAACTAACATCCCCAGCAACATCGCAGGCAGCAGGGAAGTATCGTTCACCCTGCTCAGGAAGCTGGCTTCGTGGGTGATATGGAAACGCAGGTGCACTCAGACAATAAAGGAAACAGAGGTGGCAAGAGAAGAAATGTGGTCACTACTGCTGAGCATGGCAGAGACGGAAATCAGGAGCAGATTGCGGAGAATAGTGAACTCTACGAGACACAGACCAGAAGGACAAGCAACCAGGAAACGGACATTCATAAGGAACTGGTTGCTAAAGGGCAAGGTGGCAATGATAGTTGACAACAGACTGAGGTGGAAGAAATGGCGCCAGGCACAACCATGAAGACTACGAGGGTACCTGCCGGGTGACCTGGCAGAAGGTCCTGTATGGTGATCAACAAAAGGAGGACCGGACACACGGGGAAGGACAAGGACAAACAACAGAACACAGAGGGGACCCCCCCACTGTTCTCGTAATACAGGGACTCATTTGACAGGCTCTAAGTAGAAGCCTGAGAAAAACAAATGGTCAGGGCAAGCTGACAGTCAATCCTCCTTAGAAGGAGTAATCAGGGTTCCTTCGGCCAGACGGAAGGAAGCGTTGAGTGGGTAATATGATGTAACCCATTCTGACTTGCCGGGGGAATAGGAACCAGACTGACGCTCCGCAGAATGGATATGGAGCCAGGACCATAAGGACCTGTTTGCAAAAAAAAAAAAAAAAAGATTTAGAATTTTAGAGACGTCATTTATTTTGTCACAACCTGTTGAATATGTGGATGAGCCCTTCTTTCAGATCCGAAGGTCGGGCATCTACTGTCCCGCCAGGATCTGATAACTTTGTTTTCCCACCGAAACCTGATACGTCGTAGGACTGAGGCGTTGAAGTTCCACTATCGAACTCTCGCTCGAAGTAGATCTACTTATACCTTTTGCTAGCGAGGGAAGTACCCTTCGCGTTCCTTGAATAGGAGGAACAAAAAAAAAGTAAAAAAAAAAAAATGACGAATTGCAGAAAATATAGATTTAGAGACGTCATCTATTTTGTTACTACCTGCTGAATATGGGGATGAGCCCTTCTTTCAGATCCGAAGGTTGGGCATCTACTGTCCCGCCAGGATCTGATTACTTTGTTTTCCCTTAGCCCCTAACTACTCGGGGCTAAGGGGTGTCAGCACACTCATACATCCACGTAGATGGCTGAGACCAATCCCATTAACGAGGGTGGAAACAATCCATCAATGACCAGACGATTGCGCATCCACACCACACATCCAAAGACTTTCTGACAGTGAAGCATCATGCAACCATTCAACATTTGCAACCAAGGCCATGCAACCATACGACTTAGTCACACTCATACTCTTAAGCGCACACAAACACTCGGACAAAGCAGCAATGGAGAAGAAGCAGAATAATGCCAGAATTCCCTCGCAAATTTAGATTAAAACTTAATAAAGCTGCCACCCCACGTGCGCAGCAACCAAGTCCAACCAAAGGCCTGCCAGCATAGCCACAAAGCCCTGCCACTGGTCGCACCTTCGTCTCCACCACCGCTCCGTCCCTCGGCTACCATCCGCCGAAACTACTTACCCCATGCCATCACTCCGCTTGTCCTTGGGCACGTCGAGTCTGTTCTGTGCCGCAGCCTTCGCGCATAGCTCGGGCAGCATTGCAGTCGAGATCAAAGAGGAGGAAAGGAGAGGGCCACGTGAATTTATAGCGTAGAATGCAGCGGGGCACCAGAGTGTAATGTGGGGGAGCACGGTGTGGTAGAGGAGGAGGACGGAGGAAAGGAACATTCCAGAACGTTGAAGAAGGCGGGAAGATTGATTTTTCGAATAATTGGGATGGTCGTTCAAGCCACGCGTGCAGATATGCTCAGGCATCCTGATCCAACCAGCCCAACTAACATCCAATCACCTGTTCCGCAAGATGAGGGGTAGAGAAGAGGAGGAGGATCAGGGATTCTGAGGAGATTGGATTGGCTACCCGAGCCATGCACGCATTGCATTCTTACGGCTTGATCCGTCCAGCCCAGCGTTCAACCAATCAACGATCTTTGGGCTGAAGAAGCAAGGCGACAGGATGCGCAGGAGAGGAGTCGCAGAGCAAGAAGAGGAAGTTGGTGCGCATGCATGAGCGGGAAACGAGCTGGCATGTGCAAACAGCTATGCGTGTGATTTCAAGATAAAAAATAGAAGAAGAAAGAACATCAGAGAAGAAATCCCAACTGTTTTTCATAACCGTTTTATTCCGCGCAGCTGCTATTCGACCGTGGTACTCTTAAATTCCCTCCGGAGCAAGGACAGACACTCAATGTAACCGTACAAGAAGAGAAAGTGCAGACCCCTGCTTAATTGGTAAAGGTCGAGTTCCGTACTTCGGGGCTATCCTTCGGGGCCAACTGAAGGGTACGAAAAGCCATGAGGTACGGGACTCGGCTTATCACATGTATTTCTTGTTGACGACAGCTGAATGGGACGTTCGACCCGGTTTCCAGCTAGCCGAAGTTGGGTAATGGCCCCAGTATTCCAGGTTGAGATATGGAGGATTCCCAGCCTCCGAAAGGATTTATGGTAATAAAATTGAGGGAAAAAAAAGGAAAAAAAAAGGTTTGGATAGGGGCAACATGAGAGAAAACTTGACTAGGAATGCATGCAGCTGTCCACAAAAACTGTTAAGTACTTTCTTCTGCAGCTGTCTACAAAAAGTGTAAGTACTCTCTTCTGTATGACAAGGCTCCAGCCCAACTTTAGATTATATAAATGATACACGGTCCCTTCTAATAGAAAGCACACTCGCTCCTGCATGCCAAGGGTTCGGCTTGTAGACTATCCAACGCTATCCAGACCCTTTCAGTGCCAACCACATCTGAACAATGTGAGTGTTCTGAGCAGTCTAGATTTTAGCTGTCTTTGTAGCATAAAACCATTCTGAATGTTTTGGGTGTGAAGCTTTCCCTCGTTTGCATTTTTCTAATGCATGAGGTCTATGCAGCTGGATTCAAGGATGCCCAGCTTTCCAACCGCTCTGATGCATACCTTCCAGTCTTGGCGCCTAGATGTTCAGTTATATCTTCTGAGTCCTTGTGTTCGGTGTTGTCACCCTGTTTTGAGAATAGCCACAAGAATACCATGCAGATTAGAAATGTCCAAGTCTCAGCACTGAATGGCCCCTTCCGCTCTCCCCCCCCCCCCCCCCCCCCCC